CGTTTTACGTAAAGTCAATGCTCAGTAAACGTAGCTACGATGCCACACTGGTGATGCGGGGTTGATGACCGTGAAGGTCATAACATACAGGGACAGCAAAATGACCACTTTCCCAAGATTAAACACAGCACTTTTATTTTAAAAGATATTTTAAGTATCAACTAACTTAGACCAAAATTTCCAGATGGCCATTCCACATTGGTGTGATACAATTTAATTTTGAAAGTATTGAAATATAATCACAAAAGTCAGACTGGTTTTCAACCTACCTACAAACAAATCTACCAGGGTAAAAGTGTTTCAGGGTAGAAGTATTTTTAAAACTACAAACAAGCCTCCCTGCTTGCATTAAGTCAGAATATACATGAAATTAAGTGTAGTTTGAAAAGTATGGACATGTGTGGTAAGTGATGTCATACAGGAAGAAACAGAATTCCTGACATTTTAATATGGTGTCTTTCTTCATCATAGCTGTGCACTGAAATCTCAGGGTGAGAAAAGGGCCAGAGGAGCATTGAAAGGTTTCAAATATCAAACTATACTATTATGGCAATGGCCTAAGATCAATTAGTACCTTTCAATGACAGAAAAGGTTACAGTGAAACCAAAAGGTGCACTCTCTGAAAACATTTTACACCAGCACATCAATGTGGTTTTGATAACACAAAATAGCCTCTATTTTTAAATTAATCAGCTTCCTCTCTTTTTCTATGAGAGGGGGAGTTTCAGGGGAGTAAGGGCAATGGTATTTATTTTCAGAACCTCTCTACTAGAAAAAACATGGATAGGGTTATGGTTTTAAAACCAGCAAGCTTCAAGACTAAAACGGCATGTCACCCAGACATACGCTATTGTGCATTGTGCCTCAGGCGATCTGAGGTGACAGCAGTGTTTACGAAGTCTTCAAACCTCTTAACAGCAACCAAGGCTGCTTGCATTACTTTTGACTGTGCTATTCTTGTTTATTTTGTCCCACTCAAGTTGAAACTAAATAACGCCAAGTTTGGCTCCAAGTTCAATTCCATGAACATCCAATGCCCTGACATTAAAAGACATGAAACTGCAAAAGACTATTACTCAGAGGGCAATTAAATGCACCACTGCATCTCACCCATCTCTAGGTGAATGCCTATGAGAAAATGTTTCTTAGTTCATCCGGGGAAAATTCATGAGAGGCAGGTAGAAGACTGCCATGCCAGCCCAGCCCTACCCGGGTTGATTTCATTCACCTAGTAACCATTGTAACAAAATCCTCCCACTGTATTTCTGAATACAATTAGTTTAAACTCTACAGGGAGATACATTATAAGTGTTTAGAAAATGTAAGAATAATACCCATTTGAAAAAGAAACTATCATTAATATATTCTCACGGGGGGCTGGTGGGGGGGGTGTTGATAAACGTTTGTTCTGCTCTTCAGTAAAAGGAGCTCAAAAAAAAAGACTCCTACTTTTGATAGCATGCTTTTCTATTTATTTCTTAAATTAGTGATCTGAAGTATTTACAACCAGACAGTACCTAATTTTAGGTTTTAAGTGCTTTAACAGCTCCATGCAACATGATCAGCAGCTGCAAGGCAGAACTATGGTGAATAAACTCCTTATAAAGGGGGCCTGTTTCACTGAATGCTCAGTGTCCCTGCATTTACCCAATAGGAAAAAAAGGGGGGTGGGCAGATAATGAAAAAACATAATAAATACTTGCATTCTTAAATTACTTAACACTTCACTAAGTCTTGAAGAGGATTATCTCCCCTCTTCTTGAATTCTACATAAAAAGTATGAGGTTCCATTGGGGAAAATAAGTTAAATTTTATGACTTGGAAATTACAAGGCAGATTTTTTAAGAACCTAACTTTTTACAACAATAGTTATGGGGGTTTTGCCCATTCCACTTTCCTGAAAACTCTGGATAATTTCATTCCAGTGCACACAATTTTTAAAAATTAAAAACTAAGTCACACTAATGTATTTTTAGACACAGCATCAGTCATTGTGAGCTTGCAACAGGGATTCAAAACATGAAACTGGACACTGTATTTCCCATGGCTATGTCAAATTTATTTACACCCTAACTCACAACATACATAAAAATAAAACTCTTAGAAATGGAGGACATTTATTTATTTCTGTGACCAAATATGTCTCTTAACTTATTGAAGAAAACAATAAATTACAACAAAATGACAAATCGCTCAAGGCTGATTAGTCTTGCCCAGAGTAACTTTATTTATTGAGAATTTTGCTTCAACCATTTTCTAGAAATCCTTTAAAACTGAGCATCTGTATTAAAAATGGCTATGCTTGAGCCAATTTCTTTTTACATGAATCTTTTAAATAAATTGTTAAACATAAACATATTAAAATAAATATTAGCTATGAACACATCCATATATATGAATTTTTCATTTTAGAAAAGAGAAGTTAAGCTCTGATAGCTAATAATTTGCTAACTTAAATTAAAAGTTTCCTCGGTGTTTTTATTTTAGCTAACATTGTGAAACAACCTCTAATTATAACCCCTTTTAAAGCTGTAGAAGCATCGTGTGCTCAGGGTCATTCACTAAGGAAAACCGGCTCTTGAAAGACACATTGATTTTAGAATCCCACTTATTATGAAAGAAAATGACATTCTTGATAGGCAAAAAAGAAAAAAAAAAAGTTCTCAGTTAATCTAATCATGCTACTTTTAAAGCCAAAACTGACAGAGGTTTTTAAAACCTTGGTTTAATATTGAAAGACTTACAACTCCTAATCAGGTGAAACAGCCTTTTTTTTTTAATGGTTTACAATCAATGATAAATGAAAGTATGCCTCATTTGATCTGCGTTTGGGATCGTTACCATAAAAACCAGATTCTGGAAGTCTTGCCCTAACAAAAAAGTGTATCTCTGATTACTAATGCTTTTTTTATTTTTTGCGATAATTTCATCTTTTTAAAAACACACCTATGCGTTTGAATTCAGCCTCTTAAAATGCCCCCATGGTGCTTGGCAAGTATTTTGTTTGTTTCAGAACTCTCACCAAACCCCCTTTCAGAGAATGTTGCTTCTTTGGGTGTAAGCTTGTCAAAAATATTTTAAGAGGAAAAATATGATCTACTGGGGGAAGATTGTCAACCACAACCTCTGTCTTGAAGTTTTCAAAAGAAACGCAAAACAACAACAATCCGAAACCCGTCATCGACTTTTAAGGGTGTCAGTCGCTCCCGGGTAAATGAAACTTCAGAAGCTGTGGACCCGCAGTCCCAGTCCGCGGTCAATCGGTCGATCGTTAACCGAGCCTAAGACTCCCACCTAAGGCCCGCAGGAGCCCTGCGCAAGCCGACCCACGGTCGAGCGTGCAAACCACGGCTGCTGATGAGAAAAGGACCGACATGCCATCATCCAGAAGATACTTTTCGCCCCATCAATTACGTGGATCCCAGGCTGCCAAGCCAAAAGGGGTAAGGGAGAAAGAAAACTGTTAAGTATGAGCTCTTAATGTGAAACCTAACCTGTTGGTTCTCTGAGGTATCAGATTTTGGAAGTGTCTGTAATGACAGCCAGGAAAGCAAATTAATGGCCAATGGCCCACTGGGTTTGAACACGAGACTCCTGTTACCTCCTCGCAGATCAAGTACACAACACACGCGCACACGGAGGGCTCCACGTGGAACTTCTCTAAAACCAAAACACAAGCCCTGGCGCTATTTTGCACCTGGGCAGAAGGGGCAGCGAGGACCCGCACCTTCCCGCGCTGCCCTCAGGTAAGGAGTCCCGAGGACTCGCTCGTGGCCGCTCCTTCGTAAAAGGGACCGGCGACCGAGGTGAAAGGAAGGAAGATGGTCCCCACGTTCAATCCCTCACACAGCCACATACAAATCACACACACCCCACCCCCACCCCCCGTTAGCCTTCCACGGATCAAAAGAGGGGACCCAGGGGGAGCCGGCCACGCAGCCTAGGAGAGGAACACACACACACACCCCACTGCCCTCCAGCTGAAGGGAGTCAAGGGACCCTTTAAGAAGGAAGACTTAGACAAAAATTCAACTGTGGTCTCCCGTTTCTTTGACGCTCGGCCACCAGACTCCCAGGGAGCGCCAGGATGTGCCGAAAATCGCATTCAGAGAAAGTGAAATCTTTTGAAATGCTGCTAAACGAAAACTTTGGCTCCTGGGAGGCGCAGAAGTAAACTACGCGCACACGCCGTCCACTCTCCGACTGACCTGAGCCACATTAGAAAACAAAACAAAACAAAACACCCTGCGTCCCTTCCAGTCCCTCCACTACCCCCAGACCCTGCAGGCGAAACGAGAGAAAAACCTGCTCGGGCAGCCAGGTCCCTTCTTTGGGAGAAGTTACGGTCCCGCGGTGGCATCCGAGTCCGGAGCCAAGGAACAGGACTCTTCCGACCCGGCGCCTCGACTGGTACGGACCCTGGCAGCCTCCGGGAGGCCGTCGGTCCACGCTACACCAAAAAACGGGACGTGGGCGCACCGCCGTTTCAAAGCCCGGGGCCACGCAGAGAGCGCGCAACGCGCCCAGCACCCCGAAAACTCCGGCGTCCTTCCTCCCGATGGCGTCGGGGGTCGTCGCCCAATGAATCTCCCCACTGGAAGCACGCGGGGGCGACCCTGGTGCCTGCTCCTCGGTGAGCCAGGCACCGGGACCGGTGGGCGCGCGCCCGCGGCTGGAAGGGGCCGCCCGCCCCCTGTGGAGCCTGCTTCTCTGTGGCCCCGCGCGGGGCGTGCAGTTCGGAGGGCGCCGGGGTGCTGGGTGCTCTTTCGCGGGGTGCGCTCCGCAGCCCCCTGCGGCGGGGCCTCCGGCGTGCGGTAGCCAGGCGCTGGACGCCCCGGGGACTCCGGCGCCCACACTCGGTCCCTGGGGGCGCCTTCCGATCCCAGCGCTCGGCGCCCAGACAGAGCCGCGCGCGCACTTTCCCAGGGAGAGTGCGGGGTCCGACGTGACCTGTCCCCCTAAGCTCCCGGCGAGGAGTCGAGGGAAAAGGCGCACTCACCTCCCGCCGGCAAGACCCGGCCGCCTCGGGATACCGAAGTTCAAGGGAAGGTCCCAGCCGCGAGATCCGGTGTTTCTAGATACTTATTCCCGTTCCTTTCAGTGTCGAAGTTTTCCCTTCGCGCTGTACCGCTGGTGAAAACAGGACATCCCCTTCGGCCACCCCACAACAAACAGCGCTCACAAGTCGGGGAGCAATGGGGCGGGGTGGGGTTGGGGGGCAAGAAGCCGGCAGCGAGGGGAGGGAGGGGAAGGAGAGGGGCCAGAACCCTTGACGGACGCCCGAACGAAAGCCGGGAGGGAAAGTACAAGAAAGGAAAAGCGCGCGGGCCCCAGCCTCCGCTGCCGCCACTGCCCAGCTTTGACCACAGCTCCTGTCCCCTTCGGAGCGGGCGCGACAACTTCACGCGGGCTGGGCGCGCGGCAGGGGCGGCTGGCGTGCGCCGCGCTGCGGGCAACCTTGCACTTGCGCGCGGGGCGGGGACCCGGAGCTCCGCCGCGGGGAGCCCGGGGAGACTGAGCCGGAGCGCGAGGGGCGGCGGCGCCCGGGGGCCCCCACTCTGTTTTATTCAGTCTCGGATGATTGCCTGTTGTCAATGTTTGCAGACTCGCGTGGGGACCGCCAGGGGCCTCGGAGCCCTGGGCGTCCCCAATGGCGCCGCGGTAATCTCAGTGCCCTCCCCGTCGCCCCCACCCCGCCCCCACCCGGCCTCCAGCCCGCGAGGCCGCCGGGTGGCTAAGGGGAGGGACCCGAGGCCTCGCGGTCTGCCTGGCACCAGGGAACCACCACCCTCCCCACCTGCTTCTGCGGGGCAGCCTGCAGAGTTTGTGCTAACTCTCCTTCTATCTTTGTCCCAGGCTGGCGGCCCACTTTGGGCCGCCTTCACTTACCCCCAGAGAGGAGACAGAAGAGACTTCTACTGGGAACAAAGTAGAATAAAAGCCATCCTCAGTCAGATTGGGCTCCCTGTGAGCTGAGGCAAAGGCCTTTTGGGTGGAGATGCACCAGATGAAGGAAGGAGGAAGCAGTCTGGGCATGGACCGTGCTGGCAGGGCCCTTTGCAGCACTGGGCGAGGGTATAGGCGTCCCTCCCAGACGCCAAAGGTCAGGCAGTGACGATTTACTTCTTAGGCAGTGTCAAAGCCCAGGCACATAACTGAAATGACATTTCATACCTCAGCCCTCTGCACATGCATTATGTGCCTACACAGGATTTAATATCCCATATGCACAGGTGTGTACATCACCCCAGAGGCCACAGCAACATTCATAAACTCCACATCCGTTCAATCACCTTTTCCTAAAACCTACTGTCAGCTTTAGAAGTCTCTTCTTTGATTGTCATATTAATAATGGGCTTACTGAGAATTCACTGAGATTTAGTCACGCACTGGCCACTTCTGATACTGGAGATTGCACTTGATTTCACAACAACTTTATGTAGTTATTACTTTTAACTCCAAGTCACAGATAAGGAATCCTAAACCCAAGTAATTTTTTCCCTAGGACAACCCCAATGGTTTCTAGCCACAAATCCTATGACTCAACAAAACAGTTCCCACACTCCGTCAGATGTGGCCCAGGATCACAAGGTCACCACCAGTAGAAATGACTCCCATTCAAAGAAAATGTATTTTTAATATATTATCAGCTAAATTATAGAGTGAACCAACAGCTCAGAAAAAGATTTCAGGTACTAATTCAGCTAGATCTTATGCAACAACGACCATTCACTGTCAAGTCTAAGCAAAGGACAAGCTTGAAGATGGGTATGTACAGTGGATTTTTTAGTTCTAGTTCTAGTTGTCCAGAAGTGGTGGAAACGGCGGGGCTATCATGTAAAATGATAGCAGGGCGCTTTGAGGCTCTCCTCCATCACTGTCACGGCTTTCCTGCATGTTTACTTCAGAGGACTGGGCACTGCCAGTCATGTTTCCACTGAATCTCAAGGTAGAAGGGTTCTAGCTATTGGTTTGACACAAAGGGGCTTGAAGCTATCTGGAATACATTCTAGACTGAAAGGTGCCACTTACTGACCGCTTAAGAGGATAATGAACAGATTTCATTAATTTTACAGATCACATTTTCTACATTTTAGTAAGAAAACGGAGGTCTTAAAATTTGGGGCAATAAATGGCAGAGTTGAGATGCAAAGGAACCATTGTACAACCCCTAGCGCCATTCTTAGCTACTTTCTGTGTGTACAGTTACTGTCTCAGAACTATAGGGGCATTTCTACCCTGTCCTATAGGGCCATCATAAGTCAGAGTCAGCTTGACGGCAGTGAGTTCTGAGTGTTATGGTTATTGTGATTATTCCCACCCCTGGTGGTAGAGTGGTTACACATTGGGCTTTGACTGCATGGGCGGCAATGTGTAACCACTGGCCTCTACAAGGGAGAAAGAGGGGGCTTGATGCTCCTTCGAAGAGTCATAGGCCTAGAAACCCACAGGGCCTATTCTACCCAGTCCTATAGGCTCACCATGCGTTGGAATTGACTGGAGGGCAGTGAGTTCGGCTTTGGGGTTTGGAAAGGACTCCTGGTTGCGCAGTGACTAATTGCCCAGCGGCTAATTGAAAGGTCAGCAACATTCCAAACCCTCCAAATGCTCTTTGGGAAAAAGATGTAACAGTCGGCTTCAATAAAAGGGGGGTAGGGGGCAAGAAGGGGAATGGGGAGCCGCTAGCATTGATGATTGTATAACTCCACTTGAGGGGGTTTAGCAACAGAATTGTATGTGAGTGGATATACTGGATTGTGTTAGATATGTCAATAAAACTGTAGTAATAATAATATATTTTTTAAAAATATGTACAGCCTGGAAACCACACGGAGCACTTCTCTGCAGGCCGATAGGGTTGCTATGAGTCTTAATATGAAACTGGATGGTAGTGGGATTAGTTTTTGTTGGTTGGTTGATTTCATACCACCTTAAATTACCTCACAGACAAGTTTGAGAAACTTTGATACCAAGAATTACAGACTACATATCCCTCAACTAGAATTCACTGCCATTGAATCAATTCTGGCTCATTGCCCTCTATAGGGACAGAAGAATTGCCCCATATGGTTTCCAAACTGTAAATTCTATCCTGAGGAGCAAAAAGCCTCATCCCCCTGCCATCCCCACCCCTGCAGAGTTCAGACTCTAAATCATATTTTCAGTCTCTCCTTCCCATTAGTGGAGAGAAATGTTGGTTCAAGATATTTTGGGGTATTACTTTTTGAATTCTGTGTGTATTGAGTTATTGACCTCCTTTGAGGTTGAAGTGTCTCATTTTAAAATTGGTATTATTTTATTGTTCTTCATACTCTTAAAGCAAATGCAAACATTTTGTAAGCACATGATTAAAAAAGAAAGTCCAGAAAATGGATTGTACCAGTTCCTCTTTGCCCTCCCTCTGCCTTCTCCCTTCCTCCTCTGTCCAACTCCTCTCCCAGTCCTACCCCACCCCACCACCCCTCCAGCCACATACACACTTAGTCTTAAATCTTCCTTAACCACTGAATGGAAAAAAAAAAACCCAAAAACTGTTCAACTGGTATACATAAAGTGGCAGCATCTATTGGCCCAAATTGGTACTGCAATGAAGTTCTACAAAGCAGGGAAGAAACTGGGTAGAAAGAGAAAGAGGGAGGGGGGGAGGGAGGAAAGGAGGAAGAAAGAAAGAGCAAAAAGAAGGCAAAGGCCCATGGGAAAAATTCAAAAAGCCTAAAAGAAAAGAATGTGAAAAAATACTGAAGCGGGAAATCCACTACCAAGTTACCATATTCAGAAAGTGATTAGAAAACACAAGCAAGCTTTGCTTGACAGGGGTGAAGCCATTCAAAATAAACGTTCAACTAATCTGAGAAAGGACCGTGTTTGGAGAGGGGAAAGAACTTTAGACTTCATAGTGGAAATAGAAGTTTCACTTATTAGCAATTCTCTTCACCAAGCCCTCTGGGGCAGGATGCCTCCGCAGTTATCATCTACTGTTTGTTTATTTTTCAAATGTGCACGGCACTGCTTTTGCACTGGGTTTGTGCCAGTCCAAGTAAACAAAGCTCATAATCCAAAACACAGTTTTTATTTCATTTAAAAACAGCCTGGGGGGGAAAGCCGTGCCATCACTTTTGTAGGAACAGGTTTTAAGCTATCATCATAATACTAATAGAAATTACCTTCATACACACCCACACAAACATAAAAATAACCACACATATGTACGCATTAAAAAGAAACATAAACACACACAGAGGGAAAGTAGAAAACTGGATGCTTACAAAAACCATCCCAAAATAGATCTCTTGAATTAGCAATGCTTTCAGTGCACCTTTGAACTCCAGCTAGAAGTATATACCACTTTTAGAAAATAATGTCATTCAATTTTTCTAATCCTACTTTTGAGCATTTGGGAGAATGGACTTTTAGAGCCGCATCCATATAAATGAGGTTTAACAGTATTTTTATCTATGGATCTGTGAATGACAGACCACAGGGACAAATGAGATTAAAGCATAATTACCCAGGAAGTTAAAGGCCCTCACTGCTGGTTTTCTAAAATCTATTAATAAATATACCACTGACTAATTTTCTGTGAACAGATGAAGCAGCAGAAGGTTTTTCCTTGTTTGTGAAAGCAAAGAAATTAAATCTGCAGTGAGACCTGTTAGGTCTTTCTCCTCTGCTGAGCTCTGTGCTAAACTTCCTCCTTCTTGGCAAAGTCTCCAAGGGAAAGGTCCATTCTTTGGGAAACAGCTTCATGATATTTACTTTGAAATTCTCTCTTGAATTTTTCCCCCCTCAAATTAAATCCTTTTAGTAGGACACTAGGCAATTCCCTCTATCTTTCTGTTTACAACCAACCTTCAAATGTTTATAAACAGATAGCATGCCCACTTTTAGTCATCTGTTTGCCACGTTAAACAAATGGAAAGGCTTTTCATCTTGTTTCACTTCAGACTCTGCAAGTTCTTCGTCATTTGTATGGCTGGCCTCTGCATTCTGTACTGGTTTCGGTACGTTCGTTTTTGTCAGGAGGACCCCATCATGGAATGCGTTGTTCTCGGTTTAGTCTCATCAACCTGTCAGGATGAA